AATTTCATCTTAAAATTAAGCATTAATCATAAATCATAAATCAACAAAATAAAAATATTACATTTATCAAGTGTTTGAAAATTAAATTACTCGATATTGAAACAATAAACGGCATATAGAATGCTTGTTGTTGTGGCTTAAGCCAGTTGTTGTTGTTGTTGCTGTTGGTGTTTATATTATTTGTAGCTGCACTTATTGTTGGTGTTGTTGTTTTTTTAGTATTGATCAAAAAATTCATATGCAGGCAACATTCGAAATGTTCTTTACAATTGTTGTTGTTGTTGTTRTGGATAACAGTATTTGTAGACTTGTTCAAACTAAACAACAATTGCATGCAACTTTGAAAATGAATTTGACAATAGTTGTTGTTGTTATGAATAATATTTGCTCTTGTTGTTGCAGCATAGCATATGAACTGCTTGATCAAGTTAACAATTTGCATGCCACGTTTTAAATCTATTTTACAATTGTTGTTAATATTATTGTTATTATTGTAGGTATTGTTGTTGTTGTTGTTGCTGTTGTTGTTGTTGCTATTGGTGTTGCTGTTGTTGGTGCTTGTTGCCGTTGCATTTAGTGTTACATCGTTAGCTGCTGGATTAAGGTTTCAGCTCATTTTCACGCGTTTCCTTGGTGGTCCAATTGGTGGGATTTGTTGTGTTGCGAGCGCACGAAATGCCTCCGCTATCAAATGTGAATGTGTCGTAATCATATTTTGCCAGCCAGAGGTTTCCATCACATCGGTGGCATGACTGTAAATGGGACAACAGTTAGTCACAGTCATGAGAAAGCTAAAGCCATTTCTTGTGGGCAAACACTTACGTATTAATGAAATCTATCGTTTGTGCTTTCAATTGATCCGCACTATGGAGATCAGCTAATATTAACGTTTCGGCTGCTGTTTCAACAGAGAGATTGACGCACAGCGCCTCCTCGCACATCACTTTCAGCTTTTCGAGTGCATACTGTAACAGTTGACAGAGAGACATACAACAAATAGTTAGAATGGAAATGGATGGGCATTCAGCATTCAGCTATTCAGCATGGATTGGGTTCTTCACCTTATCAGCAGCCGCTAAGAGATCATCAGCCATTTTTTCTAGATTGGACGCCTTGCCCGTGTATATGAATCGCAGCATCTCTTTGAGCACCTCATGATCCACATCGGTTATGGCGACACGATTCAGTTTACGCTCCTCCATTTCGTGCTCAAACATGGCAGCAAAGACATCGCTTCGCGCTGCACACGGGGGAGAGAGAGAGAGGAAGAAGATTAGATTCTAGATCAGATCAGAGAGATATATCCTCTATATTTACCTGCCAATATGGCTTTGTGCGCTTGAAACTCTCGACCGCCCACGGAGAGCGTGACATCGCTGAATTTCTCATTGTCAAAGAGATTGCCAAGGTCCTCGGAGAGTTTGCACTCGGGCACTTTGAACTGCACTATATTGGATTGTCCCGAGATGTTGACGCTATCCGCCACCACGCTCACCTCGCAGAAGATGGTCAGCTTGTCCTCTGGCAACAGGCCGTTGGCCTCGTCCAGGAGAAAATCGCGGCGAATAAATTTCTTAAAGCCCCAATCCTTCCCCTGAACAAAACGATATGCGCTGCAAAATTATGGAAGCATCGAATAGATATAGTAAAACATTCTGATAACATCTGAAATCGTGCGAGTTACTAACCGTTGGGATTCCATGGCTTTGGTTTCCTCACGTTTTGCGTTTAATATGGAAAATTTGAACTTGGCTCTGACTTCAGATTTATTACACGATACTAACAGTAAATATAATGATAAGTAATCCTTGCTCTCCTCATCTAGACCCTTGGGATTTACCCGTAAACACCTAAGCGAAACAGAAGATTTATCAAGTTAGTCAGAGTATATGATGTAATATATTAGAATATGAGAGATATACATAAGAGGTACATATCATACATCTAAATGAAACTTTACTTACCATTTCAGTTTGTCATTAGCACCCGCTGAGAATGTGGAAGATTTGAGCACTTCACCCATTTCTTCCCGACAAAAACTAAAGTTATTTATGGTCCACATATAACTAAATTTAACCACTTTAACCTGGAAATGAAATGAATAAAAGATCGTTAGATTTTGAATGTAACAAGAATTTGCTTTAAGATCTGAATAGTACGCAGACTAGTCTTTCATAGAGATATGTAGATTCCCTTACATTTTCAGAGTTTGCAAACTATGCAAATTGTTAGCGTGCTCTACGACTTTATGTTGATCTTCAATCAATCCACCTAAACAATCTACATGAACATTCACTCCTTAGCATATAGTTAATCTAGCTAAACTCAGTCATGGGTCAATGAATGCTATTTGCACTTGGTTTCAGTTTTGGTTTGGCTGGAAGCGCACACCTGCGTAACGAGCGGAAATGCAGTTTCCACAAAGCTGGATTCGGCTTACAGAAATGAAATTCGAGCAGAGATGTTAAGGAAAATCCATAGAAATGCAAAGAAAAATGCATACAGAAACTGAAACCTAATCCGCAGGCAGATGAGCCAGGCGTACAGGGACAAAGAGGGCATCGATAAACGGCAATCGTTAATCGGGTGTCGGGTTATCGGGTGACGGGCGCCTTACCTGCGTGTAACACCAGTTCTCAGCGACTGGCGTATTTACTTCCGGCAGGGGCGGCGAGGGTACGCGACTGACCGCCATTGTGCTACTGGATGCGTGCAGGTTCGAGGTGACTCTAGCTGTTTGGCTTGCCTGACATTCGTTAACCGGCAATCTGCAAGAGAAGAAGCAAAGAGAGACAGGGCGAATCAGTATAAAGTGTGGTTAGATTGAATTGCAGCTATATACATATATAGGGATTTAATATATAATATATAATTGAGCACCTTGGCTCTTGCAGTATCTCCATGATGCTGCGCTCGAACTCAATCTTGACGAAGCGATTGTCGGATCTCGAGTGTCTGTCCAAGAGATTGAGCAGCTTTAGCAGCAATGAGTTCTCCAGCTTGAACACACACACGCACACGACAGAAGAACACGAAATTACAATAAATTTTTTCTTATTTAAAACAAATTGTAACGGGACGGAGACAAAACACACGAGGCACAGGCACAAGCACAATGAAGAGACGAGATCACAAAGTAAAATGCGCCAAAATCTGCACTGCGCATAATTGCGACAAAAACGCGTGCGCAAAGCTGAGCATTAACCGTTATCCCTCGTCAATTGAGTGGGAGAGTAAATAAAGAGAGCGAGCTCAAAGCTCTGAGCGCGCTCACTAAAAAGCTTTTCTTGCTACGATTGCCTGACTTAAGGAGTGAGCAAAGAGCGCGAGCTGAGTTATTTCTGCTATTAGCAGTCGATGAGCGATGCAGACGCGACTGTTCAGCCAAAGCAGCAAATTGTAACTAAACACTGAAACTCTGAAACCGTTGTGTGGGCTGCCAAAATTAAAGGTAAATCTGGCAAGACGGCCAACACGGATGCGTCACAGGATGCTGAGACAAGAATAAGTCACAGGCAGAGCCTGCAGATGACAGCAAACAATAGACCAAAAATTGTAGCCAAGAGTGGAAAATTGACAGCAAACAATGGGCGGGCGAGAGACAGAAAGAGGGACAGAGAGAGA